TCTGGGAACAGAGTCTTAAAGGAGTTTTAATGTAATTTGTATCCCCTGGTGGTATCTATGACTTTTCTTTTTTCTGTGCTTGGCTAGCACAACACATAATAGAATCTTATCACAGCTTAGATTTTTTTAAAAATAAATTCCACTATACAATTGTGCCAGGTGATTTAAAACACACTTGAGACAGGTATAGCTTTAGAATGTCTTCCTTTCAAAATAAATAAATAATTGTCTTCATTTTACAGTGCAACTATATTGAAGTCTACCTTCCCTCTAACTCCCTGTTCAATAATAAATATAAAAGCTCACCAAAAAATAAACCACAATCATATAGTTGCCAAATAACAACAGAAAAAGTTTCTACAGAAAGATATTTTCAGCTGGCATTCCAAAATGAAAGAAAAATATATTCAACTCGTGATAACTACTATAATACTCTTCTATTAAATATTACATAATCTATTATATTCTTATATAATCAAAGGTATATAAACACTATGGCAGAAAATCAGGGAATGGGAAAACCACACCAGATATTATGTCACAATTTAAAGACTATTTCCTTAATCATGTGGCATTTGAAATGAATTGTCCTAAAAATTCGTTGTTCTAAAGGCCAAGAACTAACAGAGGCTGTTTGTTACTTGTGTAAGAAAGTAGGTCAGATAATAATTGTTGCTTCAGATGGGAAAGGAGCAAAAAGGCACTCAGTTCTTCCAGGCATGGGCAAATTAAGGCTTTGGCAGCGACTATGCCTTCAGAGCCCAAAATCTTGTTACTGGAATAAAATCTATTTCAATTATTTTCTCTGAGCCTCTTAAATATAAAGTAAAGTGATTTCAAAGTGGTTAATAGCCACTTTCCTATTTTCTTCTTTCATTGCGAACAACAAAATTAGTTTTAAAAATAAGCGAAAGGGTTTGCATGATAAAGTTACAATATGCTTCCGCTAAAAGGCAGATTAGTATTTTGATGAACAATGATGTCACATTTTGCTCATTTATAAACAAACATATAAAATATGTTTACAATATTCAAAAAAATTATTGTGCCAAAATGTCTGGAATTATCAGTGCACAGCATGGTTTGTAATCATTAGATTAGATTAGATTAGATTAGATTAGATTATTCTATGTTCTTTCCAAATTTATTTTCCACATCTTAAAATGCAACCAATTGTTTTATATTCATAGCAACCCAATTAATATCAATAAACTACTAGATTAGTTAGGTCTATCATTCTTTAAGGTACTATGCACTGTTAGTCAGCACCTGAAGTAGAACCCCTGCTGTCCTACGAATACATACCATCTTCACTGGATTTTAAATCAACATAAATTAATTCCTTTATCACCTTGAAGCTAATTGTAGCACATTTATTAGCTATAGATGATATTGTGAATCAACTAGAAGGGAAGGAGGCAACACTCTATGAATCTTTGCATGAATAAAGTCATGCATTCTATTCATGACATATCCAGTTCAAAGAATCTCTGAAAAATAACCCCTAATTTAAGCCATTGAAAGTCAGTGTTAAAAAAAGTATTTCCCAATATAGTGTCCACCAAATTAGTAGGTTTTCTAATTTGCCATTCTCCATTGATCATACTGTCTGGGAACAATGGCAGTGGTTCTCCGAACCATTTGAACTGAACTGTAGATGGATCATTAGCATGACTCAATATGGATTATTTATATTACAGTATATGAATGGATTAGAATACTTGCATTTTATATCTTTTTAAAATCTTATTACAAGATTTACATGTGTAAGATAGATAAGTAAACAATGACCAGAAAGACAAAGAAATAGTATTTGCCATATTTTTCAGAGTATAATATGCTCCGGAGTATAAAATGCACATTAGTTTTTGGGGAGGAAAACAAGAAAAAAAAAAATCTGCCTCTGCCTACCAGCATCCATCGATATTCATCTGGCTAGTGTCCCTGCAGCAAACAGCCTGGTCAGTTTCAGCATGTTATTGTAGCCTGATTTACCATGAACAGCTGATTGGAGGTTGGATCAGCCTCCTGGAATACCACCAATCAGCTGTTCCACGCTGTGGGGATCAGCAGAGCCCATCTCCGCCTCCATGTGTTGTGTTTTTGGCCTCCAAGCATCAAATTTTTGGCCTTTGCACACTCTGTTTTAGACCCGTTTCAGGCTGCGGGGATCGCCACAGCACATCGCTGCCAATTGCCACCACCGTGCGTCACGTTTTTGGCCCGCGTGTGTCGTGTTTTCAGACTCCACATGCCCCATTTTTGGCCTCCACGCATCACATTTTTGGCTGATTCCCCGCCACCTGGAACCGGCCAAAAATGCCATGAACGGAGGCTAAAAACAGGGCATGCAAAGACCAAAAATATGATGTGTGGTGGCCAAAAAGCAATGCTTGGAGGTGGCAATCAGCAGCAATGTGCTGTGGTGATCCCCGCAGTCTGGAACGGGTCTGAAATGGGGTGTGCGGAGGCTGAAAACGTGACGCACTGAGGCCGAAAATGGCTGAAATGTGGGGGCCGGTGGGTGGGCAGGGCTTTGGCAACATTCGGTGTATAAGATGCACCACAATTTTCACCCAGTTTGGGGGGGGGGGAGTGTGTCTTATACTCCAAAAAGTATGGTATATGCATTTAACATTTTAACTATTTTGCCATAAAAAAATCGGATTTAAATCATCAATACATCAGGAGTGATTGAGGCTTAATCTACACCAACTTTTTATTGTATAAAGTTGTACAAAAATCAGCTGCTGCTTTGAATAAAACACTAGGTATTCTCAAATATGAGCATAAAACATTAGCGAATATTTCATAAAATTATATGGCACATGGACTACCGTATTTTCTGGCGTATAAGATGACTTTTTAACACATGAAAATCTTCTCAAAAGTTGGGGGTCGTCTTATACGCCGGGTGTCGTTCTTCTGTAACCAGGCAGACCAGCCCGAAAGACTCTGACGAGCCTTAAATAGCTCTGGCGATCCAAGCTCTGAAGATCCCAGCTTTGCCTGCTAATCAGGCAACTCAGCTGGGATCGCCAGAGCCCTGTAAAAGGAAAAAAGTTTTCCCCCTCCAGCTTGCTTACCTTAGCTGCTAATCGCAACGCTTGCCTTGCTTCGCTTGCCTGAATCCATTCCATCAGCAAGCCACTCCAAGCAGGCAGGGAGTTGTGGACTTCAACTCCCAGAATTCCTCAGCCAGCAAAACAAAGCTGGCTGAGGAATTCTGGGAGTTGAAGTCTGCAAGTCTTAAAGTTGCCAAGGTTGGAGACCCCTGTTCTATGGGGTAAGTTTTTTTCCCCTTTGGGAGCTTTTAAAAAAATAGTTAATTGGGGGGTTTTTTAGTTGTTCTTTTTTAGACCTAGCCATTTAAAGTTTAGGAAGTTTTAAATTTAGTTTTCATATAAAAATAAAAATAAAATAAAATAATATTTGTGCAGCTTTCTGAGATTTAGTGTGTTTCTGTAGTGTTTCACTCTAACTACACAAACACACAAAATCTCACAAAGCTGTATGTGGAATTTTGTGTGTGTAAGTGTGAAAGTTGTTTTTTGGGGCTTTTTGGCGCTGTGTGAGGTTCCTGCTTGTTGCAGGGGCCATTTTGGGTCTAGCACAGCTGCTTTTACATTGTGGGTGAGCCTGTTGTGTTGTGTTGTGTGTGTGTAAAGTGTGAAAGTTGTTTTTTGGGGCTTTTGTGGCTGTGTGAGGTTCCTGCTTGTTGCAGGGGCCATTTTGGATCTAGCACAGCTGCTTTTACATTGTGGGTGAGCCAGTTGATGTTTTTTAATTTTTATTTGGTGTGCGTTGGAAGAGGGGTAGTCTTATACGGTGAGTATAGCCCAAACCCTATATTTTAACAGGAAAAGTCGGGGGTCGTCTTATACGCCGGAAAATACGGTATATATGTTCTTGAAGTTCTTTCTTCAAGAACTAAAAAACAACATTGGGAAGTTATAATCTTCTCACATTAGGTAAAAAGGGTTTTTTTTTTGTTTTTATCCAACCTTTTTTTCATATACAACTCATGGCAGCAAACATACCAATAGTTCTTCTTCCTCCTATTTTTCCCATAATACTGTAATGCTATAAGATGAGTTGGGCTGAGATAGTATTACATGAAAAACACACTTGTTATATTTTAAAGGAAGAAATGTATTCTTTACCAGCACATTAATATATATGTTTAATCCTTTGTACTGGTTTATTGGAACAAGTAGAACAATCTGAATCTCTCAGTAACTTCATTTGGCCTCCTTGCTTTACTGTTTTAGTGTCAAGTATTAAGCACTCTATTGAAAATACCTTTTTTTACATGCAACCCAATGATTGCACTCTAGACTTCCAAAATATTGTCTTCTTTTCAATATCAATTACTTCCAGAATGTCAAACTCTGTCAAGTTTAATTTCATGCAAAGTGCCCTGCCAAATCTTCAGTACAAAAGTTCATGTATGATGTAACCTATTAAAGAACAATTTGGAATACTAAGAAAGAAATTTAGTAAGGAAGCAGCCATTTATTTAACCATAATGATTTAGTATACCTAACATTTGTGTTATCAATCAAAAACCAAGCACAACAGATGTTATAAAACAGTTAATATATTTGCACTGAATATAATTAAATATTTTATTATTATTATTATTATTATTATTATTATTATTTCTTTTATTCATTAAACATGAAACTCAGTCAACTGAACATTTAAAGATGTGTCATAAATACCATTGACTGGTGCTAATGGTTGATATGGATTGCTACCAGCATCCTAGGTACTGTATCAACCAAGTATCTTCTTAAAATATATGATGTTCGGAGTAGTGCAGTTTTTTGCAGTTCCACTGCTGTTATTGTAGAAAGCTGCAATTTCTTGATGTGTTTTGTAAAATTGTTGGACATGGTACCAAATGCCCCGATGACAATGGGTATCATGGTTACATGTTTCTTCCATAGCCTTGTAGTTTTGATGGCCAGGTCGCGATATTTCGTTATTTTTTCCAGTTCTTTTTCTTCGACTCTGGCATCTCCTAGTACAGCGATATCAATAAACTGTATGCTTCAGCCCTCAACAACCGTGATGTCTGGCGTGTCGTGTTCCAAATGACAATATGTCTGTATTTGAAAGTCCCACAAGATCTTCATGTTCTCATTTTCGGTAACTTTCTCCACTTTGTGCTCCCATGACTTTTTGGATACAGGTAATTCATATTTTTTACATAATGACCAGTGGATTAATTTAGCAATTTGGTCATGTCTAGCTTTGTAATCAGTTTGTGCAATTTTGCTGCATTCATATATTAAATGTGAAACAGTTTTGACTTTGTTGTTGCAACAAAGCCTGGATAGCTCAACAGACAGAGCTCTGTAATTTAACAACAGCTGTCTGTAATTAAAGTAAGATCGAATCTCGCCAGGCTCAAGGTTGACTCAGCCTTCCATCCTTTCTAAGGTAGGTAAATTGAGGACCCAGTTTGTGGGGGCAATAAGCTGACTTTGTATAAATATACAAAAGTATGAAGGCTATTGCTTAACGCATATTGTAAGCCGCCCTGAGTCTCCGGAGAAGGGCGGCATATAAATCAAATTTAAAAAAAAAAAAAGTCAGCAATTTGGATTGTCAGTGGATTTTTGTATCTTCGCTTTCACGGCATTAGTTTGTAGTGCTTGTTCTTGAGCAGCGAATATTAAACCTTCCGTTTCTTTCTTGATGGTTCCCATCTTAAGCCATGTCCATGTTGTTGTTGTTGTTGTTGTTGTTGTTGTTGTTGTTGTTAATAATATTCATTTGCAGTGCCCTGTAAATGAATAGCTTATTGTTCAAAATGAATTGCTTTACAAATTTTTGAATTTTTTCTTTCATCATAGGAGGATCATCAAGAACATGACAACTTTACATGCTTTACCATGCTTTACATGGTATTGACAGCTGTACTGAATGCACTAGTGTAAAAGTGGAATATAAAAGATGGTAAATAAATCAGGCAATAAATAGATTAATAAATTCAAAAACAGTATGAAGTTTGTAAAACAATTGATATCTACTGTCAAGGCTCTCGTCAGTCATCAACATGAAACTGAAACTCTTTGTTCATGGAAACATAACTATTGCTCTGTGCTCTGAATGACTGATTGAATGAATAAATAAATAAATAAGTTCTCTTTCTTAAACCATTGATTTCTCATCAAATAACACTGGGAACAATATTTACTGTAGAACAGCATGCTAATTAACTTAGTCCCCTGGAAACATTGTTCAGTATATTTAAATATATGATTTTACGCAAGTGGGTAGTCAGCAGAAGAAAAGCTTGGAATTTGCTTGTGTTTAATCTGACAATTTAAAACATAAAGTCTACTCTCCCATTCTTCAGCTAAAGGCCCAAATGAAAACCCCTCAAAAATATTATTTTTACTATATTATAAATCAGCATCTGACGGGCCTACTTGGATAAGAGTGAAATACATTCTTCATCTTCCTTTTAGAAAAGAAGTATTCATAATTTCAACTAAAATCTCATTTGCCTATCCATTCACTGACATGTGAAAAAGTCCCATTAACATTCCATAAATTCCTAATTTCCAAGGAGTTTTGTTTGTACTTTCAAAACAGACAGTAGCCAGGGAGAAATGGAAGAGTCAAAAGCCAAATGTAAACAAATACAGGAAGATATTTATGTTTTATTTAAAAGGGAAAAGAGGGGGTCTTCACTTTCTGAATATTCAAAAACCATTATGGTTATCCTGTGAGCATTGATGTTTAAATGGAGGTTTGGGGCCTGTGAAATGACAGCATCTTGAGCTGCAGTGGCGCAGTGGTTAGAATGCAGTACTGCTGCTACTTCTGCTGATCACCGGCTGCCAGCAGTTTGGCAGATCGAATCTCACCAGGCTCAAGGTTGACTCAGCTTTCCATTCTTCTGAGGTCGGTAAAATGAGGACCCAGATTGTTGGGGGCAATATGCTGACTCTGTAAACCGTTTAGAGAGGGCTGTAAAGCAGTATATTATTGCTATTGCTATCTTTGAGAATAAGGAGTATTTTTTTATTTCTATTTTATTACCTCATTCTATTATCTTGCTTGGTAAATTGAACCTGATGCCAGAGTATAGAAGCAAAAACTTAACTGTTCTTCATGCCTATCTTAACAGGTACCATGGCTGAATGCTCAGATCAAAGACAAGCAGTGCAATATCAGGCTAGCTTGGATCAACCAGCAGCCACAGCACTGCTTTCCATTAGCCATCATACCACACAGACTACTGTGATATTTTTTAAACAATAAGGACTACAGTAGGGTAGTGGAACATGCCCTGATCTTGGTAGGGAAATGAGGGACGGAGGGTATTGTATCTATTTTTCTGCGGACTGCCAGGGGTTCGATCCTGACTGCCTCAAGGTCGGCCTTCCATCCTTCTGAGGTCGGTAAAATCAGGACCCAGATTGTTTGGGGCAATATGCTGACTCTGTAAACCACTTAAGAGAGTGTTGTGAAGCACTGTGAAGCGGTATATAAGTCTAAGTGCTATTGTCTTTCAGTAAATATTGTAATTGCCAAATATAAAAAATGGATTTTTAAAACCCACTTCTTCCCATTTTCCTGCCTAAAAATTTGAACCAGCCCTGTTTGGGCTGCTGATAGTAATAGCCGGACAGAGTGATTTCAGGTTTCAATGAATAAACCAATTATGAAAGTTGTCAGTCAAAGAGAATGCCAGTCCTCCACAGCTAGGACAGTAGGCTTATTGCATTTTAATTTACTACCTTGCTGTGTGACACTTTTAACTGTCCAATTTCAGTTAAGGAAAATAAACTTGTAAGAACTCCTTGGAATTGTAACATGTAAATAAAAGAGGTTACATTAACTTATATAGCAGGCCTGTCAAACTGGCAGCCTGCAAGCCAGATGTCACTCGTAGGCCACGCCTACCCCGGCTCCGCAAAGGCAAAAAACGTCGCGATACATCATGATCTGGCCCATGACGCGATTGAGTTTGACACCCGTGTTAGTAAAGACAACTCCTTTTTTTCTTTTAAAATATATAACACAAGAGAAGTGAACATACTAAACACTCCTGCCTCATATTTTCCCCCACAACAAACCTATGAGGTGGGATGAACTGAGAGAGAATGACTGACCAAAGTAACACTACTGGCTTTCATGCCTAAGGGAGGCCTAGAACTCGTTTCATGGCTTACAGGCCAACACTTTAATTCAGTGGTGAAATATGTTACTACCGGTTCTGTGGGTGTGGCTTAGTGGGGGGGGGTAATAATGTGACTGGGTGGGCATGGCCAATTTTTTTTTTTACTTTTAAAACCATTTTTTCTACAACCTCTTTGGCGAAGAGGTTGTAAAAAAATGGCTTCAAAAGGCTCTGACGATCCCAGCTGAGTTGCCTGATCGGCAGAGGCTTTTTTTCTTTTAAAAGCCTCTGCCGATCAGGCAACTCAGCTTGGATCGTCAGAGGCATTTAAAAGAAAAAAAGCCTCTGCCGATCAGGCAACTCAGTTTAGATCGTCAGAGACTTTTAAAAGCATTTTTTCTACAACCCAGCTGAGCCGGGTTTTTCTACAACCCGGCTCAGCTGGGCATGGGGGGGAGCAGGGATTTTTGCTACCGGTTCTCCGAACCACCTGTCTCCATCACTACCGGATCGGGCGATCCAGTCTGAACCGAGAGGATTTCACCCCTGCTTTAATTACTATATTAAACTTACTCTCTATTTACCATATTATTTTCATTGAAATAATTTAATATCCATTTAAATATAGAAACAATTTCACTTTAATGTTTGATAATACTAAGTTAAAATTTCAAACATTATCACAACAGTTCCATGACTGAATCCAGTAATTTCTTAAATATCAAACTAATGTTCTTCCTTTCTCTGCTGATTGCCAAGGGAGCATGGTTATTCACTGAATTCAGTGTCTTTTATAAATTCTGCCATTAATTTTCTCTATTGAAATCTGGCTCTGTACTAACAAAGCTCAGGAAAAACAAGGTACTGGAACACTTGTTTTTGCAACATATTCTATTTGAAACATAGGAGAACACAGATATGAGATTATAAATAGGAATTTGGGGATAACAAAAAAGGAAGATTTAATCATTGTAGTTTTAATGTCAGAAGCCTGTGGCTGGTAGTAGAAGATAGCCGTGTGTCATATAGCATCTTGCTAACTAGGTCAGCTTAGATGGCTATATTAATGTCTTGGGTTCCTTCTGTCTTCAGGCCTTTTGGACTCATTTCAGCATCACTATTTCTAAGTGGTGGAAGCACAAGGAGATGCTGGACATTTCCATTACTGCAAATATTGTCTTATCTAGGGAAGACTTACCCATATGATGTTCTTATCATGTGTTAGACTACCAGTTTTCATTCATATCTACTTGGATTTACATTCCTAAATCATGTCGAATTTGCTAAATTGGGAAAATCTGCACTCATCTGGGTTACCCCAACAGACAGCTTGTCAGCCAAACAGATCTTAGTGAACCTGGTATTCAATATAAGGATTTAAATGTTGAACTTGCACCAGGGATTCAAATCTCTCCTCAGCATGGAATCTCACTGGATCGATCACACCTTTAACCTGTTTTATAGGGTGTTATGTGGAAAACAAAAGGAGGGAGTGCTGTGTATGCTGTTTGAGCTATTGAATGAAAGGCAGGATATAAATTCAATAAATAAATGCATATTTATGTTGAGATATTTAAAGACTGAATGTTGGAAACAGCCTCGGCTTCATCACGTCAGAGTAATCGTTTGAGTTTGCTGTATTTATTCATTTCTAATATTTAGAAACTGTCCTTAGACAATGTGTAAAACCTCACATAATACAAAGTATAATATAATAAATACCCAATAAAAACATTAAGCAATAACAAACAGTAATGTTGCATCTCTTCGCTAACTGGTTAGATGTAAGTTTGCTAAACTATATTTTTTGCTTTTGCTACACATAGAAATTGGCCTGATTTGTTTTAAACCCTACTGTGTATATTTCAGGGCATATATCCATGCAGACTAGATTCAGCTCTTTATTTATTTATTTATTTATTTATTTATTTATTTATTTATTCATTTATTCATTCATTCATTCATTCATTTATTCATTCATTCATTCATTTATTCATTCATTCATTGGTTTGATTTATATGCCACCCTTTGCTCTCCTAAATTCTTCTAAGTCTATAATATCTATTTTTTTTAAAAAAAAAAGCAAATTCCAATCAATTAATAAGTTTAAATCAAAGAACTTGACATTTCTATTAAGAAACAGTTATTTTTTAAAATTAAAAACCTTTGAACTTACTTCAAAGATTGGTATCATTAATAGAAATATATCCAAATTAGTTGTTGAAAGAAAAAACTAAACAGCTTAAAATCTTACATTGAATTTTGTGCTGCAGGTTCTATTTATGTCAATATATGGTCTTTTAAACCCAGATTTTCATTTTATTTTTAAAGAACAAGTTTGGATTCAATAAACTGAAATAAAACAATGAAGTGTAAATTAGCATAGTTAATTAACTTAGTGTCTTCTAGATACATTGTACTATAGTGCTATTCTTGTTGTTCCCTTCTAGTATGATTATTCTATTGAATATCAGTGAAGGAACTCAAATCCAGCTAAAAATGTTTCATTGGGATGGTTGAATTATATCAGTTTATTGTATACAACAGATATAATTAAATGCTGTTTTATAGTTTTTCAATTTCATATATATTAACATTTATTTAGATAGATGGTAGCATTTAAATGATAATACAGATTTATATTGTGATTATAAATACATTATTTCAATCTGGTTGGTGAAATGTGTTTGCACAGCTTGCAGTATTTTCTTCAGTATGGAGCTTAAAGAGACTCTTGTTTTCATCACTTCACTTTGTAAATCAAGAGCCTACACCTCCTCATTAATTACCACATTACAAATGCCTGCCTAGTTAAATAGAATAAGACACTTTTTGCCCAACTAAAGGCAGTATTTCATTAATTGTGGC